CGTTAGCAATTTGAGGTTGCAAAACACTTGAATGACTCGTTCTACACTAACAGGTGATAGGTGATAGATTACGTGACCAGCGTTAGACTGATCACACTGATCCGATCGGTGGCTCTCATATGCAAGTCCTGCCTACGAACAGTTCTCACAGTCCACGGAAGGTGGACAGGCGAAAGTGGAGTACGGTGTACAGTGGAGCTACGGTGGAGCGTTACCGTAGGCCCATGTATCCCGTAGCACGGAACATCGCGGACGAATTCGCACCGGTTTGTGATGCTTGTGCAAAGATGCACGCCACAAGACGACGGTCGCCAATCAACCAACGTTTTAAGTTTACCGTTTAATCGAGCCGACGTCGACTGAGGTCGCAGGGACTCGCTCGAATGCTGAATCGTCTTCGCGCTACCTTGAGGAAAACGCTGTTCAACGGAGTGACCGATTCAAAGGCGCGATCGATGCAGCATCGCCCGGTTCGTGGCTAGCGTTTGCCGACGAGCAACGCAGCGGTCCGTCCGTCCGACTAATCACCAGCCGCCGTCGCCGAGAACAACGTAGAGACTGGTTGGTGTCCGGCGAGTGAGGAAAATTTTCAACCTCTCAGTTCCTCCTCCCACGCTGCGGACAAACGACAGCACCGCCCGGTGCCAGGCCATTCTTCATCGACGATTGTGACTCGAAACGTCGGCCATTGCGAATAACCGGTCGGACGCTGAGTCGGTGGCGGCATGGATTATTCAGGTCGATTTGCCAAAGCGTCATCGGCGGTTTCTCTTTTGACAGATTGAAACGCAACACGGTTGGTCAAAACATCTACGCTGAAGGCGATCCGGCGAGTTTCACCCTCGAGCAACGCGATTTCATCGGAATTTCAACGGACATTTGCTTTGTCTGTTCTGTAGCCCATTCGATTCCATTAACATGCTTTAAATTGAAACGATACAGAAACGTTGAGTGCCAGTTCTGCACAACTGTGGTGGTACTCACGTGCGTGAGACATATCTTTAATTGATATCTTTATCAATATCATATCTTCAGTTTATCACGTCAAATCTTTAGTTGAGTCCTGCTTAAGGGATACGCCAGGAAAACTACAGTATACATTGCACAGTTCGAACTGTTTTCCGTTTCACACCGAGGCTACATCTGGATGCACGTCAACGTCTGTCTTGACGCCCAGTTCATGGCATTAAGATTAAGCATCCCATCGCCAAAAAGTTCAATCGGAAGACAAAGCACCTCCCATCCTCGTGAAGCTCTACAAACAGCCTGTCAAACGAAAAAAATAGAGACTGCAGGAAGAGATGGACTGAAAGCTGGAATGATTGAAGCACGCAGTCAAAAACTTTCGGAATATCTTACTCGGAGGTTCAGTCGATATCCATAAATGGAAAAGAGTGCATAACCTTCATAAAAGTCACCTACTAATACACAAGAAGGGTGATTTCGAAATTTAAGGAACCATCGTCAATGTGTCTGCTGTCACATGCACGGTGTTCGCAGTGATAATCGCCAACTGGTCATCACGGAATGTGGAGGAGGAGCAACTTGGAGCACAAAATGAATTCACAAAAAACTTTAGCACAACAGATAACATTTTACTCTGAGTCAACTGCTACAGTGCTCGGGAAAATATAGATCTATAAATGCATGGTCCTCGTCGAGTAGGGAAACATGTTTGACACTCTCGAGATCAGTGCGCTATGGAGAGCCCTGGCAGAGGAAGACATCGACAGACAGTACATCAACCTGCAACATGCGGCTATTCGTAGATGCATGACAATCACCACGCTGTTAGACACATCCCTCCAGATACCAGTTCCAAAGGGCGTGAAGAAAGAAGAATTTTTCCAAAGCATTTTGCGGCCTCTCTAGAAATGATATTCAAATGGCTGGACTAGAAAGAAGCAATAAAAACAAACAGAAAACGGTTCAATCATCTCAAATGTGCTGGTAACGTTGTGGCAATTGCGGAAAATATCATTGAGCTTGAAGAAATGCTGCAATAACTCAATAAACAAACCTTGAAAGTCAGATTAAAAAATCAGTCGCCCATAGACAATGTACGAACTCTGCGAAAGACTGAAATCAGAGGGAAAGAGGTCAACAGAGAGGTAATAGATTAACTGGATAACTGCAACTGTTTGGGCCTGAAATTTAACACACGATGCCTTCAATAGGCCGAAATTTGGCACAGACGTAACTCATGCTGGCGAGCACTTAACTTCTCCAAGGATATTCTATTTGAAGAAACTGACAGATCAATGCAGCCTTGCTTCTTCAACACGATCATACTGTTGACGGTGCTGTATGTCTGTGAAACATGAGGCATGTGATTCATATATTTTTTTAAAAAATATTTATGGAAATAAGCATGATTGGAATTTGCTCCGCATCCATATTTCCAGTGCAGACGTCAGACGGCAAACCCGAATGAAAGATGCCAACAAGAAAAGAAAAAAAGCAAAATATGGTTAAAATGCAAAATATGGCACTTAAATCGATTCAATGACGACCTACCGATTGGTACCAGATGGATGGCAAATGCAGTTCGGTCGCCCTTGGAAAAGATGAGTCGATTTAATGTCTGTTTGCAAGGACCACTGCAACGAAGGTGTGAACAAGAGAAGAATACAGTAAACGGCGTCGTGGCAGGTTCATTGTGGTACACTACTAAATCGAAAATTAAAATTTCTTTTAAATTTGCATTACCTGTAGTGCTGACTTTTAGTCAGTTATTTGGGGGGAGGAGAATTCTCTGCAATGTCTGCATCAGACAGCATAGCCGAATGTCATGCAGGCTTTGGTATGTCCATACGAAGACACCATTCCGTCTCAACCCATTGCTCGTAGGTCATCGACCTGATACTCTTCATTCACCTGGTTGCATCGAAGCTTGGAAAGGAGCGAATTCCTCGATCGACGAATTAGCAGTTCATAAGGAAAATTCACTGCACGCGGTTCGTCTGATCCCACATTCTAGAAAGCAAAACAATCCTCTATCTACTATACCCCCTCATATACATATCCGTCGAAACCTGCCATAAATCAGGCACTGCTTACGGAACAATGAGAGCACTGTTGTGAGTTGGGCGTGGGGGGAGGGGGGGGGTCGCTCATCATCGAAAAGGAAGCGCGCATTACGGTACTGCATAGAAGTACTACGTTCTATCGCTCACATTCTACTTCAAACAAAACGGACCTGGCAAACCGGACTGCCTCTCATCTAGCCTAACGACTGGTTTATTCTTTTGTATGTGAGCTTATGGACTTACGCTTAGACAAAGAAGACAGGGGGTGATGGTAAATGAATTGCTATATTCTGTCGACAGCACTCTTGTTTTCACGACTTCTCTCCAGAAGAACTATAAATAAGATTCAAAAAGAAATGAAAGAGTGAGCTTGAAAATAAATCTGAAAATGACTCAGCTTATGTTTAACAAATAAGCAACCTCACAATCGGTGAAGTTAACGAACTCAAGGTAGAAACGGTGATCCCTGCAACAGAGAACTGCTCTACTAAATTGCAGCATATACAAAAATTCCTTTGAGAGGCTGAGGATGCGTGTGGTGAACTTTACGATGAACTGTCTTTAACGTAGAAATGCATGAATTCCATTCGATATGCAAAAGCTTGGCCATTATCTGCGTAGCCTATAACGAAGCATTTCCTCAATAATGGAATCTTAAAAGATTTAACGGAAACTTCCGGCCTCCTGGCAGTGATGTAAACTTGGTACGAACTGAACTTCTGCCGTTGTCTGCCGAATAAGTCACATATGAAAAAAAATGCTGAGAAAAACCGAACAGCTGTCGGCCGTTACAGCGTCCATTTACAACATCTCAAGATTTGTTGAGGCTTCGCTGAGAAGGAACGCAATTCGTCTGGTCTGCAGAAAGAATGCGTCCAACAGCTGTTCTTCCCTCCTCAGCGAATCGCAGGTTCGAAGCAACACTTAGAGGCAACAATGCGATGCTACATGAGAAAAACTAAAATAATGTCCTCTTCAGTATGGTGGA